ACTGCTTGTTCGTGACTTTGTCGCCTTACAAAAAACTGAAAACATAAATGAAGCTAATACGTTGTTTGAATTGCATGCGCACGAGGACGCATGCAATTTCGTAATACTTTTGGACATTCTGGAAAGCCTGACCTAGTATCAACCAATCGTTTTCATGGCTATTCCTGAATGTTTATTTGTAATGAATTTGTTATCATACACAGCACGTGCTCACATGAGCCACATCTACGACTCAAGTAAACACTTTTTTCAAAAACATGTTAGACGATATTAAAAAAAATTAACAATTACATTTAAAGAAATAAAATGAAATAAAAAAAGATTTATACAAAAATGATTCCTTAACACATACTTTAACTACTAGGTCGTAACACAATAAATAAATTCCAGTGCATTTGATATGTTTGCAGCTTCCTTTCATGTGCCTCTGAATTTTATTAAACCCAATTCAAGGTTGTATATAAAAGTTTAAACAGCCAATAGTATTGCCCCCCCACTAACATAATAATCCCACCTCTCTAGACGGTATATTTCATTAATAGTAAGGAAAATAAACTGCAATTTGCAACATTGGCAAATCAAGTGTGATCACTGAATAGACTTTTTACAAGTTATTATTAGTATGTTATATATATATATATATATATATATATATATATATATATATATATATATATATATATATATATATATATAGTTTTGGCTTTAGTAAGTCCGCTAATGGAATTAAAAATGAAATACAAGATGGAATTGGAATTAATTAAGCTTGAGAGAGAGCTTGAGAGAGAGAGAGAGAGAGAGAGAGAGAGAGAGAGAGAGAGAGAGAGAGAGAGAGAGAGAGAGAGAGAGAGAGAGAGAGAGAGAGAGTTATAGTTTCAATTAGAAGAGAATTGCAATTTCAATTTGAGAAAGAGGACAGAGACAGACAGGAGAGGGAAAAAGATAAAGTTACAATTTGAAAAGAGAATAATGAAAGGGAATTTCAAATTAAAATGAAAGAAATTGAGCTGGCAAGTGAAAAGCACATTTCCACTTCACATATAAATTCAAGTTTTGATATTACAAGAAATTTCTGGTTAGTGTCCCCTTTTAAGAGAAAAAGTTGTAGACAAATATTTTTTTTTTTTAAAAGGTCGCTGAAAATTTTAATGACCAAGGGACCATTGGACTCAATTATTGTAATGTGTAATTTTTGGCAAGGCCAGATATATCTATGCATCCATGTCGTACAACAAAGTTCTGACTATGATTTGGTTATGGAATGCATCTTAAGGGGTTATGCATTAGTCCCTGAGGCTTATCGGCAGAAATTCAGAAACTATAGCTGGACAAACTTATATCAAATTTGTTAGAGAAAAAGAGCAGTTATTTGAACGATGGTGCTTAGACAAGAAAGTTGAACACGAGTATGAAAATATCAAACAACTTGTGTTACTAGAAGAGTTCAAAAATTGTGTTCCTAATGACATTTAGAATCATCTGGAAGAGCACAAGATTGAAACTTTGGAAAATGCTGATCTTGCTGCTGAGTATTTCTTAACTATCAAATTTCCTGTCTTAGGCAAATCATTCACTTGGAAATCTACTGGTAGAAAGGTATTTCATCCTAGTTCGACTCCTTCTAAATTCAGTCTGGCACAACATATAAATTTGAAGCTTCTGAGAAACTTTATTCAAAATCTTTGTCTATTCCAATGAGTTCCTATTGAAGAAAAAAGGACATGTCATTTCTGATTGCTTTAAATTGAAATATAAGCATCAGAATCAAGATAGATCTATCCCATAAGCACTTATTTTTAAGAGTTCATGTATTGAAAGCAATACATTTGTGGGGTCTAATAAATTCCAGTCTGATTTTATTATAGAGAATTATGAACCATTCGTGTTGAAGGGTTCTATATCCCTCTTATGTGATTTGGCTAATCCTATCCCTATTAAAATGTTAATGGATACATCAACTTCTCACGTCATTTATTATCAGGTACATGTACTTTGGGTTTTTTTTCCCTGAGAAGTCATGATCTAATGAGAGTATTCTCATTCAGTTAGTAGAGTGCGGCTTTGTTAATTTTCCTCTTCATTCTGTAAATTTGACATCAGACTTAGTCGAAGGACCTGTGACAGTCAGTGTAGTGTAAATTTGCCCATTGAGAGCATTGATTTCTTACTACACAATGACCTAGCTGGAGACAAGGTTGTGGTTAATCCACTTGTAACTGACAAGCCTTCTTTGGATCAGAAAGTTGATCCTACTGAAAAAAATACCTAGATTTATACCCAGTTTGTGTAGTTACAAGAGCTATGGCAAAGAAAGCTCTTGAGAATGATTTTAATAAGGAAACTATTTCTTTAGCTGGCACATGTATTGGTCAGGCTTTTGATGAGGTCACTTTCACTCCTAATTTGAATCTTGTGATGTATCATAGGTGTCAAAATGATGTTTTAGTGGGTTTATTACTCAATATCTCTGTTTTTATAATTCATGTTTTTGTAATTCAGTTGTAAAAATACCTTCAAGAGATCAGTAACATTATCTATTGTTGCCAATTTTGACTTTTTTGCTATTTAAGAATAATTTATATTCTTTGGAAAATAAGTGCTTTGTCATCAAAGCTTTGAACAAAGTCATTAAGTGGAAATAATATAGTGTTAAAGCCGAATATTATTTTGTGATTCAAAAAATTCAACTTGGAACTTTTGATAATTCTTTCGTGATATACAAAATTCAACATTGAACTTTTGATACATCAATATTTCATTCATCTGACATCATTGTCCGCCAACTTTGAACTTCGCCATGATTCAAACTTGGATTCATTTAGGACATTTTAGTGATAAGACTTGTATTTTTCAATTCTAGGATTAATGTTTGGATTAAATTCACAAACTGTCCTTTTATATATTTTTACTGTGTTGTCTATGGAAATAAATTATTTGTGTGAAAATTTACAAAGCTTGTTGGCTTCACTCCTTTCTTTGTTACTTTGAATGAGCCAAGATTTGTAACAAAACTGAACCAACAGCCAACTGCTTTAACATAACCTGATATTTAAACAATATTTATATATGCATATATAATTGCCATGGGTGAATAAAAATTGATATACCAACAGTATTGGTATATCAAATTGCTTTATACCATTACTTTAAAAACCATGCTATTTTTTATGCATGTGATAAGTAAACAGACCTGATCATGATTTTTAATTTGATAGAAAATTCCTTTGTAAATTAACTATGTCCAGGACATATTTGCTATGTCATTAGTCAGTTTACAGAGTGTATATAAATTTAAAGTAAGAAAGATTATTTCATTCCTATCTTAATATCAGCCTTTTAGTTTTGTTCAGTTACAATTTGAGAGGAATCATTTAAGTTAGTCATTGGAATTACAAAGTTCTCACTGACATTTCAACTAAAACATTGCTTTGGATTATTATGAATTCATTCAAAGACATTCTGGGTTATATCATTGTGATACAGCAAGACAGCTGACACATTGGCACATTCAAGGCTAATGTAACATCAGTTTATTAAAGGTTTGAATTCATTAACCACTGGAATTCATTTGGAATGATCTATACTTTGCACCTTTTAAGATTATTTGGGATTTCAAAATGCTGTAAATTCCTCTTGAATTATCATTTAACTTAATAGTGGTGAGTGTATTTGAGTTTGATTTGGATTTTGCTAAGTAACTTGAACATTTTTTCAGTCATATCACTATTTTGTCTTTGGTGTGGAAGTTTATAGTGATGTCTAGCACCTGGGCTTCATGCCACAGACATGTAGCATGTCTCAGTTACATATCCTGATACCCAGCCAACCTAACACTAACCTCTTACTGATGAGTGCCAAGCAAGGCAGCTGCTAGTACTATTTTTATAAGTCTTTGATATAACTCAGCCAGAGTTCAAATCTGTGACATCCTGCATCCAAGGCGGACACTCTAACCACTTAACCTACAATAGTGGTGGTCTTGATGGACAGGCTATCACTAATAACAGATTTGACTGTTGGTATTTATGAATTGTGTCGGTCATAATATGCTGATATTCACATGAGTGTATTTGATTGTACATTGGTATTTATCTATAGTGGCCATCATGATGTACTGTGGTCATTAGATCTGTACAACTTGACATTAGAGCAGTACAGCTTGTCACTAGAACAGATCTGACTTGTACTGGCATTTTTCAGTAGTGGTGATCATGATGTACTGGTGGACATTAGCTCTGTATAGCTTGTCATTAGAACTGTAGAGCTTGTCATTAGAGCAGTACATCTTGTCATTAGAGCACTACAGTTTGTCTCTAGAACAGATCTGACCTATACTGTCATTTTTCAATAGTGGTCATCATGATGTACTGTTGGTCATTAGATCTGTACAACTTGTCAGTAGAACTGTACAGCATGTCATTAGAGCAGTACCGCTGTCATTAGAAATGATCTGACTTATACTGGCATTTTTCAATAGTGGTGATCATAATGTACTACTGGTTGTCATTTAGAGTAGATGTGGAACTAGAGCTTATCTGACAATGTTGGTATTACGAAACATGCACTAATCATTGTTTGTGGCTCCATTACCCTATAAGTAATCTTTAATCAGTCTCTGAGTTTTGTTTTTAGAAAAGAAAAAAAAAATACTGTTATCTTAAAATAGTCCACAAGCTAATATCATCAATCAAAATTTGATTGTGGCAATGGGGCAATGTTTCTTTTTAGAAAGGTTTGGTTGACCTTGCTCACTTACAACACCCTCCCCTTCCACTCTTTAAGCATCTGGAAGACTAATATAGAACTTGGGTATGGAACTGATATGTCTGATGTATTCCCATAGGATATGGACAACTAGCTGGGCATGTACAAGATATCCTCATTTACAATATTCTTGCCTTTTTGTAGAGCTAGCACATGAACCTATGCAAAATTATTTATAAATAATAATGTCTGTATTTATGTATAATTACATGGATAATTGTGTAACAACTGCACCGGTGGCCTAGTGGTTAGAGCGTCCGCCTCGGATGCAAAAGGTTGTGGGTTCGATCCCTGGTCAAGTCATACCAAAGACTTAGAAAAATGGTACTAACAGCTGCCTCGCTTGACACTTAGCATTAAGAGGTTAGTTTTAGGACTGGTCGGCCTGGTGTTTTGATAATGTGACTGAGTGGGACATCATGCTACATGTCAGCAGCAAGATGCCCCAGTGCAAGACATCACTATAAACTGCCACACTGCAGACATCGTAACAATATGACTGAAAAATTGTTAAAGCTATGTTAAAAATCATAATCACATAATTGTGTAATAATTATGTAAAATTTCATGGATAATTGTGTAATACTAATGTAATATTTCATGGCTAATTGTGTAATATTATCTAATGAATGCAAGAATGCATGTAACTGTGTTGTCTTGATGTACATGTTATTTTCCATAATAATTTAAAAAACAGTAGTAGCTTATCTGAGTTTATTTTACAATTTTTGTTCCTGCTCACTTCAAAATAAAGATTACTTGACTTGAACAAGCAGTGTACATGATCTAAAAGTGTTAACAGTCTGGGACTCTTTGAAAAATTACTCAATCCTGCCTTAACAGTTAAAGTGAAATCAGTCCTTTTGTTGTGTTCAGTTTTTAATTTGGTTCAATTTATTCAAATTATTATTCACTGGAATTACAAAGTGCTCATTAATATTCTTGACTAAACATTAAATTGAATTGAATTCAGTCAGGGACAATTTGGATTATATTATTCTGATATATCATTAGACTTAACACATCACCACATTTCAGGCTATTGTCACCTTAGAACATTCAAGAATACAAGCATATTATCACACTGATTTTATTTGGAATACCAATGGAACTGGAACTTCATAAATTTGGACTCAAGATAGAACTTTTGGACCTATTTGGGATTTAATTCACAATACTGTAAGTTCTTTTTAAAGTTTTACTTTTTTATTCTAGGGAAATGAATTATTTAAACAATTTTACAAAACTTGGTTTTTGCTCTTTTTTGTTAATTAGATTAAGACCATATATTTGTAACACCAAACAAATATGCCCCATCAGTGTTTCGAAGGAAACAAGACATACAAATAATACTTGTCCATATTAGAGCATAAATAACCTGTAAGTATGAAATAAAAACAATGAACAAATGAATAATGTAAATATTTAAAAGAACTGATAATATTTTTTTGAAGAATTTAAAAAATGGGAAAAGAAAATGAATTTTTTCAAAGACATTTAATATTCATAGTAATACATTTAATGTTCATAGTAAAAGTGAGATTTTGATTAAGTTACTGTATATACTTGCTTATAAGTCAAACTGCAAACATCAAAGATCCTGTCATAGCATAATGTGCCTGCAGATCAGCATCACTTCTATTTGTTCTACTTATTACTCATAACAAACTGCACAGACTCAGATCCACTGGTGCATTATGGGATGGCAAATCTGTTTCTGTGCCATTTGCAGTTGGACTCATAAGCGAGTATACACAGTATGCATGAAATTTTGACAAAAGAGGGTCATTCAGGAGATAAAGACTTGTTATACTTTTGTCAGGTTGAATCTTTTGTACAATTAAGAAAACTTTATTAATGAATACATACAAACATACAAAAAAACCACATGTATTATTCTGTCATTATTTAACCTGAAAAAAAACTATATATATATATATATATATATATATATATATATATATATATATATATATATAATAAGCGCTATAGGTAACAAAAAATTCTTTTTCTGCAGCAAATAGCCTGTTGCAAGTTGAACAGTATCACAGACAATTATCACATTTTTGAAGTATGGATTTTTATAAATATATTTTCCTTTTAAATATTCTGTGCAAGGAATGGTTTGTTATGAATTAATGGTAATTTAACAATCCATTTAGAATTTATTCCAAATGATAATGCAAGTATTTACTCCATTATCAGATATAACTTTCTGATGTTTACATTAATTTATTTATACTGAGTATAACAACTGAGAATGGTCTAAATGAATGATAAAACTGACTTTTCATTTATAGTAGAATGACATGAAATAAGAGGTAGTCCTATGAACAAGTGCTAGAACAGGTTTAACATTCTGCATAATGTACCCTTAATGGACATATTACTTGCTTGAGACTAAGGTTTTCATGCTACCATACATTACTGGTCAAAAAATGAAAATGAATTTTATTCAAGATAATGAATTTTTATGTCTTTGTTCTTTAACATCAAAATATGTCTGAGTAAGTGACAATGCAAGAAAATAACAGATTTGTTCAGTACAATATAGAATTATAGCAATCACAATCTAATAAAAATAAAATTACACAAATACAAAATGTATGTAAAACACTAATTAATGCATATTTTTTCACTGATCTTTTTATAAGCACCTTTATGCTTAAACAGAATCTATAATAAAACTGTTCAAGCAAGTTTGGTATCCAGTGCAAATTGTTTAAGCAAGTCTGATAGCCAACATAAGGTATAGAAGCATGCATGATAGCCAACATAAAGTGACAAGTGTGTGTGTGTGATAGGCAATACAAAGAGTACAGGTGAGTATGATAGCCAATATAACATAATGGTATTTTTCATACATGTATAAAAAAAATTAAAGAACCCATAACTGAAAATAAACTGATTGACAATCTGCATACAAATTGCATTGAAATTCATGTTACAAATCCTTAAATGCAACCAGTTTTTCAGATTAGTGCAGTTGATAGTATGATAAATATGTACAATGACTATGGGGTAAATAATGAACAGGCCCAAGGAAGTCTAAATTGCTCATCAACTTATTTTGGCTTGACAAAAATGGAATTTTAGTGAGATGGTAAATGTAGTTTTAAAGATTTTGTTTAAAGACTTCTAAGCATATTAATCATCAGTTATAAACATGTAGTGAAATACATTTGTACACAGAAACATGCAAATATTTCTCAGCTAAAGTTGTAAACATTTCTCTCAGATTTCAAAGAAATGTTAGCCTAATAAATCTTCACAGAGTTACTGATTTTTGTGACTGAAAATATGTATATAATTTATGATGGATAACTAAGACATTTTATTATTTACAAAGTCACAAAAATAGAAGAAATGTGCATGAATGACATTAAAATTCCTATCATCACAGTTTTCAAATGAATAATATATTTCATATGTTGGTGACACAGAGCAGAAAGTCATTATACATACTGATTATCACTTTCTCATACTGAAATCACAATCCCAGAATGATATAGTGTATACTGTCTAGTACCATTTTATTTTAGACAAAACCAATAAACTGTGTGCTAATTGGTTTAATCTCCTCCATCTATTGAGAAGCTTGTGTCTACCATCAAACTGCTGTGCGTGCCAAGGTCACCGAGTCCATACTCTCACTACATCAGTCTAAAGTGAGTAAAAGGTCAAACCTAAAATGAACATGAACCATGACTGTTTGTAGCATACAAATTAGGAAGGGTCAGGAAGGTGTCTTTGTCTGTTTCTGGAGCTGTGCTGCTGATAATACTGGGACATGTTGGGACGATGCGGGACTACGAGATCGAGATCGGGGCCGTCTGTGTCGATTTGGAGTGCTAGGTGGTTCCTGAAAATACATGATATATACTAAAATGACAAAAAATTAAAACCCCCGATTAAATTTATCTTATGTGTATATGAGTAAGAATATACATTTCACTGTTATAGTCAACCTAGCATACAATACACCCTAGCATACAATGCCAACTAAAATAATAGATGAATTAAACTCTTGTACCACTGTATATAAGTTGTCATTGTTGTGTGTTTTTTACATAATTTTTCAGCACATGATGGCCAGTATATCTGGTGGAGCAGAACCTGGGAACATTGCTTAATTGTGGATTTTATGGCACACCAGCACTTTAAGGCTATATAGTGCCACAAACAGTTACATATGATAATGGTTTATGTATCAAAAAGTTTTATTATCAACAAGTGATGAAATTACACAAACATAACGATGAGATGGTGGGAATAATATATGAAGGTTTACAACCAACATAGAATGTAAATGGCATGTATTAGGGTAATTAGTATTGATGGACAGGTCCTGGCAGGGTTTTGCACTACCCAGAAATACTTGACATGGCTGGGTTTGAAGTTAAACTTCATGATGATTAACCCTTCCAATAAACATGCTTTTCTGCTACCCAAGAGTACAAAAATACTGACTACTTATGGTAAAAATACTGATTTTAAGGAACAAATACTGTTTTGAAATTTGAATGTATGTGTAACTGTTTACAATATCTGCAACTATCAGTTAGCGGGACACTAACTTGATTATTTAATGTCAAAAATGAATCTTGTTGCACACATAAAGAATGTGCAACACATTCAGGCACAATCTGTTTAAAGGGGCTTTTTCACATCTTGTTTTTCAACCGTTATCGATTTTAATGTACCATCTTTCATTGATGATCTGAATTCTGTGCGATTTTCTTTACTAAACTGTTTTCAGTCTAACACATGAGTAACCCTTTGCGATTTTACCGTTTGGAAAAAGTGTGCAAGTAAAATCGCCAGCAACACTAGCAACTGAAAGATGAAGTTACATTTCTAAAAGAAATTTAGTAAAATGAACTTCTGAATGATTTACATCAAGATTCTCTATGGTATTTATAAGCATTGTAAGTTCAGGCTGTATTGATAATGAAAAAGCAAGCTGATGATTATCAGCTTTTTCATGCTGTTTTATGTAGTGGGCATTTCTGTGTCCAACAGCTACATCACAATTAAACAATTGCAAAATGCAAAATTTTCTCCTTTACTAGATGGATTGACAAATCTAAACAGTTGTACTGAATTCTGAATGTTCTGCTGTCTTTTAAAACATGACCAGAAGCTGAATATTATGAAGATGCGATACAGTGATAACAACAACTGCTTTGCACAATTCAACACAGTGGTTAAAGTCTGGCATGGTAGCCTCAATTTCTAATGAACAAATCATATTTTAAAACTCTATATCCCTATATACATGTGACACATTTACTCTAAGAATG